CTTTCTGCTCGGGCTCTCAACATTTGTCTTCTCTGACGGCCACGCGGCGGCGTGCCAGTCTCAGTGCACGGTGTCTATATCATCTGCATACATCAATGCTGGTAATGACTGCTCAATGTGTTTTCCTTGCTTTGCAAAAGAGAGGCCGAAGCCGAGTCGACTCCCCTCTATTTGGCCTCTAGTTCCGGTAGATGCAGCCTAAATATCAAAGGTGACAAGGGACATACGTGTCAAAGCCCGCGTTGTATATCTATAGGTTCAGATACCTGTTCTTTCCAGTTTATAACCACGCTGTTACATTTATAGATATCCTTTAGAAGAATAATTATTCCATCTTCCACATCTAGCGTGTCCAGTATTCCCCAAAATTCTTGAATCACACTATCGCAAGCTTCCTTGATACATAGAAATGCCAACCACAGGGGCCTGTGTTTCTTTTTGCGCTATTTCAATACACTGTATCAATGAAAACAGATTGCCCTCCGATTTCCTTCGTTTACGAAACCCATTTTGTATCTCTCTCAGCAACCCCTCAATCTCCACTTATGCCTGTAGTCTTTTCTTTACTATTTGCATCACCAGCTTGTAAACTACTGATGTGAGTGTTATAGGACGGTAGTTGTTTATTTCGGCTTTGTCTCGCTTTCTTTTATAGGTCATGCTCATCCTTCTTAGTTTCTACCCAATGGGGGCTTCACCATTCGTAATTACTTTGCTCGCTGCCTTTCTTAATGTGTGCTTGGAGTTCGGTCTTAGTTTCTTTATTAGCGTAATTGTAATGCCGTGAGGGCCTGTTGATGTGCTATTAGAAGCCCTTTACTTTGCCCTTTCCAACTCTCGTCTTCCCAGTGGAGCCACTGCGCAAATTGGTCCATTCTCATCTGGTGCTGTGCATGCAGCGCTTTCTTGGTGTTTTAGTTTTTCTGTCATAACTGTTTTTTATATAATCCATTGCCTCATCCCCTTAAAGTCTGACCCCTTGAACTGTAGTTATAAACCTCTGTCCCAAGCTTCTCTTAATACTCGTAGAATTGAGATGATTTCAAAACTTTGAAACTGCCGTTCTATTCTTTTTGTTTACTACCGCCATTCATTGGGTCCCCTTTCTTCTAATCTTTTTCCTCGTCAAATCGGACCCTCCACTTCTGCTGCTAAAAAATTTATCCCATTTTTTTTAGACATGATCTTCTGGTTCTCTCTTCTGTTTAGCATACCGGTGTTCCCTGGAGGTTTCCTGGCGTCTTACTAAGGTTCTCTCAACTCCCTCATTCCACCAGCTTTTGGGTTTGTGTCTCATTTTCTCGCTTTATTTGACTCGTACCATAGAGATCCCTAGCTTAAACAAACGAGTTTGATTTTGTACGTCCATTCTGTTTTAGTATCCTTGGTGATTATTTTCTTAATCTCTTTATGTGCTATTTCTATTTGCTTTTCTAAATGATTATTACCGCGTCGTTGCTCATATTGTGTCTTTTTCAATATCATTTTTCTTCCAAAACTCAGCTTGATACGCTTGTGATGCCTACCTAAGCTAATGAACCATATTGATCTATGTTCATCATCCTTGCCGGATCACAACCTATGTGACGAAATTGTGTAATCTGTCATCGACGGCACCCTTCCCACCTCCCGTGTTATCTGCCTTTCGCATTTCTCGGTGCTGTTACAAATGATTAAATCGTGCCTTTCACACATATCTATTATCATTCTGCCTGTTCGGTCAGTATATCCATACACATGTTCTATGTGTGCATTCATATCCCCTAATATAAATACCTCGCACTCATCTCCTAGGTCGTCATTGTCATTTTCTATGCACTGCACCTTTCTTAGTGTTTCTCTCTGGCTTTTGCCCCTGTTCACAAGTATACAAAACCGAGGAGCATCATTTGCCCTGCCACTTTCCCATTGCGCTATAGTTGTTTCCGGCACTCCTGCTTGACACTTTGTCAGTCTGTACTCTTATGAATGAACGCCCCTATACCACCCCCTTTCCTGCTGCCTCTGTTCTATTACAATTTTCCCATGCATAGTCCGAATAGTTGGGCGGTTGTGACAGGTCCCCAAGATACCCATATACCACCAAAGATACCCAGATAAACCCATATACCTCCAGCTTCTCCTCCCTTAGCTGCTTTTCTATCTCTCCCCACTTCAGCCTATTCCTGTCACCCTGCATGTTAATATACCCTACGTTTGAATTAACTAGGCCCTCGTGGCTATATATATGTCCCGGACTCTGCGTGTCTGAGATATTGGTACCACTTTGGACTTGTATCTGCCTATACCACCTCTCAAAAAGTTTGCCTGGTTGTTTTCCTCGTTTCTAGCCCTCCTGGACCCCGAAGGGCCTACCTGCTCCCCCCAAAAAGTTACTTCACGTCCTGCAAGTCGCCAACCCACCTCATGACCTAACCTCCCGTCGAAGTGAATGCTGTCTCGTTTGAAATCTATGCGCCTCTCTGTTTATTTCAACTACCTCAAACCCTTTCTCTTGACTCATCTGCCATATCTCTTTGTGTTTACAACCTTTCTTTGCAGGTTGCCGTCACTAACCGGCAGCTCTGGTATCGTGCATATCACTACCTGTACCTGAGAAGAAATCACGCGCATGTCCTCGACCACGTTTGCCAGTGTGGTCGCTAGTCCTGCCGTGTCTTCATTTAGGTCATCGTTTACATTACACGCCATTATCACAAGGTTTCGTTCATCACCTTTACCTTTGAGTTTAGCGCTCGCTTGCCTCATGATTGCTTACAGCTTACGTCGTGGAAACATCCTTACTAAAACCCTCTTGTCACCCCTTACCTTCTCTTTGATTGCTTCTGCGCATCGATTTATATTCGAGTCCCCAGCGATTATCAAGAGCTGTGACTTTTCAGGTGAAGTGTCCTGCACCTGAAGGCTACTTTCACCTGGAACGCCGGCTGCTTTGTCCCCTCCAAACCCCCCTCAATACTTCGCTGAAGCTGAGTCTTGAGACCATTGAACCAGCTCAACATGTTTTTTCCAAACTTGCTAGCTCTTTCTTCTCCGCCGTTCTGGATGAACGTGCCCTACCGTTCTCCCCATCGGCCACTCCTTTGTTCCCTTTCGCTGATGCCTTCTCGGTGGACCTGAGCCTTTCTAACATAGCCTCATTTGTTCTTGCGCTGTCGCCAACGCAGTCTCCAGCTCGGCGATTCTCACCAGCAGTTCACTCTGGACAACCATCATTTTCCCTATTTTTTCCTCCACCTCACATTGCCTACATTTCGCAATATCCTCGTCTGCATCCACGTCTGTACTAGCCTTCATTTTCAAACCCACCACGCATCATGAACATTTTACAGTCTTTTTAACCATGTCTTCTGGACAACAATTTTCCTTACGAATTGTCCCACTCGATAATTACACAACGCGGCGTACGACCAATCCTGCCCTACAACCCTGCATCGCAAACACCCATCGCAAACACCCAGGCAAGTGGCCACTGCAAGTGGCCCATGTTCTCAGATTTTGGTGCACATTAAAGAACCACAGGTGGTCGAAATTTCCGGAGCCCTCTAATACGGCGTCTCTAGTAGTCGTCTGGTAGTTTTGGCACGTTAAACCCCACAAATCAATCAATCAAGTGTGTATGTGTTTTACAGTGTGCACTCGCTGCGCGTTGGTTGTGTGCACACTAGAATTACACAATTTATACGCGCGATTGCGTATACAATACAGTGGTGCCTTCTTATCGACGTGAAGTACGTCAAGGACATGGCTGGCGTTGTGCGGAATAGCTACGAAGCAAGCTCTCGAAATCGGGCATTGCAACACTCACACTATATACGAGCAAAGAACTGCTACTAGGCCCGTAAATCGGGATATCTGGCTAAGAGAGAAAAAGTCCTTATGGTGAGCAGAACAAGTAGGTCCTGCCGGGTGAGTTCGAATGCGATGATACAGAGGCTGAATAATTTTGATGACGCCACGTACCGGTGCTTTTTATGCTGGTGCGCAAAAACACTTCACGAAGTATTTTAGCGCGCCGCGCTCGAACCTGCCACCCACTAACAGTCTGGAAAAGGGGTGCTCGCAACACTTTACTGCATGCAAACCATTCAATACGTCTTCAGCTTACGCCGGGACCACGCAAAAGTGAACCAGCGCTGAGAGCACGCCGTGGAGCGTCTGCTGCCTGGTTTGTCCCATTATGGTTTGTTTGCCCCCTAAATTTACGTCCCTTCCGCCACACTTCTCGTAATGTATTGGGATACGATAGGGCCTCTCCTCAGTTTTTCCTTTCTCCATGATGGCCAGCCTTATCCATTTCACGGCTCCTGGCAGTTGTTTTCCAAACTTGGTTGAACTAGAGGCCTAGTTTAAGTTTTATAGCGTTCCTGAAGGTAAATGATGCCCGTTAATTGAATAATAACTTCAAGCTGCATGCTAAAGGTAAAATTTAGAGTACGTAGTGTTCATAGAGGTTAATATTTTGAAAATAGGCATCTACATTGCCACTTACAGACAAATACTCATAAACAAAAAATAGGTATAAGCAGGCACTATGAAATTACTAAGAAAACCCTTCTAAACCTCTAGCTTGTCCTCATATTTCAATATGGTACGATATGAATAGAAAGGACAAAATAGACATTTGCCTAAAATCTGGTCTCCACTGAAGACACACTGCGATCCACTAGGCGTAAGGCTTCGCTTCTGTCTCCTTCCTCTGGCTTTTGATAATTCATGTTCACCAGGGCGAACAAAAAGTTAAGTGGTTGAAACAACTAGTTTTTATTTTGTGAGTCAGTCGCCGTTGCGAATTAATTGCAGCAGCGCGAAAAAAATGAGCCCACAGGCGAGGAAGTATTATATGATGACGCATCGTCCTCCGGGGTTTTTTCACAATCTTTGCGCTCGTTATCTTTTGCGCAGCGCCAAGCTGTTCACCGGATGTTACCAGGAAATTCCTAAGTCCGGGAAACGATAGCACTGTTTAAATAAGATGTTTGCCATCGTGTGATCTCAATTACAGCGTGAGACATGGAGGCCGCAGTGTGGCACGCAAATTTCATCCTGATCTTGCTCTTTTGCTTTGCGTTAACAGGTGAGATTCAATGCTGTTCGTATAGAGGCCTGGTCATAGATGAAATAGTTACTTTACTGCTGAGCGGAAATTTTGTTTTCGGCGTGATCTTGGAGCCTAATAACCATTGCGACAATATTTTACGTTCGTTTAGGTTCGCCTTGTGAAATGATTGCTTTTATGAAGCTACCTAGTATCAAGTGACATCTTATATACACCTGAAAACTACAGGTTTTCTTGTCTCAGTACATTAGTCTGTGCGCTTTAGCTGAAACTTCCATGGCAATATCTGTTAGAATAGTTTGTGTTAAGATGTCTGTTTTTTATTGGTAATAAGACCAAATGTGATGGGTTGCAGATTGGCAAATCATTCGTTATACCGCAAAATCTGGCTTGCATACTTCAAATTTCCCAGCCATCAATGTAGGCATATTCACCCAGCACAGAGACTTACAAAGAGGGTTCAGCTTAAATATAGGACGACGCAGCGAGCAATGGAAAGAAAAATGGTAGGTGTAACCTTAAGAGACAAGAAGAGAGCAGAGTGGATTAGGGAACAAACGGGGGTTAAGGATATCATAGCTGAAGTCAAGAAGAAGAAATGGACATGGGCAGGACATGTAGCGCGTAGACAGGTTTACCGCTGGTCATAAGGGTAACTGACTGGATTCCCAGAGAAGAGAAGCGGGTTAGGGGGAGACAGAAGGTTAGGTGGGCAGATGAGATTAAGAAGTTTGCGGGTATAAATTGGCAGCAGCAAGCACAGGACCGGGTTAACTGGCGGAACATGGGAGATGCCTTTGTCCTGCAGTGGACGTAGTCAGGCTGATGATGATGATGATGATGATAATGATGATGATTATGATGATGATGACCCAGCACAAAGACGAAGAGAACAGTTAACCGCATGCTGTTCGTGTGTCTGTTCTTAGGAAAGCTTGTTTGCGTTGCGCTACATTGAAGTTCTGGTAAATGCGTTTTGTCATTTTGTGTCCACTTGGGAAATGAAGGTTCTTGATTGCAACGAGTATTTCTTGACGACGTACTGCACTCAGCCGAAATTGCGAGAATTCTAACCCAGGCTACCAGTTCATTTCCGCTTCCTCGGCTAGCTTCCACACTAGCTAAAGAGGGATGGTATATCAGTTTCGTAAGTGACGTCCCTCGACGACTGAAGTGCTCGATGGCAGTGTGAAGGAGGAGCCGTTGTCCGGTGACGAGACGCTTTATTACAGCACTCAGGCGGCTGCCCGAGTCCAAACCCGATCCTCCACTCTTATTCCACATCAAAAGATTGCTTTTACAATCCTCAATTAGACAAAGAATCGCCAAACAAGCCAATCTTACATGGATGTTCACGTCACTACAATCAATTACAGGAATACTTTCACAACAGACATAGCATTGGTAATAAGCAGGCTACCAAGTACAACACGTGAGCGGATAGGTTCTGTGCGCAACACGTGTCGTCACACTTTCTCTCATGTTAGCGCATGATTATATATATGAGTGGTTGTTTATTAGAAGAGAAGAGGAAAGAGAAGACGCTTCTTTCTGTCTCCCGAATCAGTAGCAGTTTCTAGGCTCAAGCTCACTTAACTCGCGCACTAAGCGTCGCTTCCTAAAAAAAAAACGCCCTAAAGGCGGCGAGAACACCGACCGACCTTCTCCGCTGACAGTTCACTCTCTCCACAGATGGTCGCGCCAGAAAGCGGAAAGCAAAAAAACGCCTCGAGGAAGATCAGCCAACGGTGCAGGGATTTTGCGTGGCTAGTGTGAGCCCTGCCAACACCTGTCATGCAGACAGAGAGCTTTGGTTATCCTTTTTCATGAATGAATGGTAGTATCTAACAAACGGGTGCCATGCCGCGGAACACAAACTGGATATGCAGCGAAAGTGGTCCCATATTCTTTCTTTTTAGATATAACAATGTAAAATGCGCGGTGATCGGATGTATGAATATCTCTAGACAAGTCTACACCACTTAAACACGCTTCGATGGTGGGATCTCCTTGCATTGCCAAAGAATTTGATAAATGGTAGCCTGCAGGCACCTCCAAAAGCTATACTACGAGCTTCCTCCCTCAAGGCGTGGGAGTCCCTCCTCTCGTCGACTCACTACCGTGTTCAGACAGTAGTGACAACCTAGTCCGAAACGATCGCGCATTCTTTTGTATCCCGCCCTTCAAACCACCAATAAGATGATTTCATGGACCTCTTTGTGCCATTGAAAAACTTATTTCTCTATATCTCCTAATACATTTCATTGTATTCCATTTTAAGAAGCAGAGTTGGGAGGAAAGGAAAGTACAATCGGGCATTTGCAAAGAAAAAACTCATGTGCCCAAGCCTTACCTTTGCATGCTTTTTCCTGCTCTGAGCACCCTTCAGAATTCAGCTGCACGATATTACAAAGTTGTCTTTGTCGAACCCTTTGTTTTTTACTATCATTGTAATACGAGCTAATATAAGTTAGTGTATCATGAGTGCTTCCTAGTTTCAGCCAACCACCCAACCCAATAAACTTGCAAACAAGTCTCTGCTAACAAGACTGCGAAAACTTCCTTAGAAAATTACCGACACCAGCGTATCACGAGTCTAATTCGCATGATAAATCAAATAAATAACAGCTTTGTATTGTCGTGGTCTAAATTATACTAGTTTACCAACTTGCAGTTATCGAAAAATAACAGTTTTCTTTCAACACATGCAGCTTGAACCAATTTGTTTTCGAGAGTGACAAAGCGTTGCGTATGGCATTGATGATGCAGTTCTACTCCTTTTGTCTTTGTAAACTGTCCATGAGGCCTTTCAAGACAACAAGTGCGTGAGCTGAGTCACAATACTTGAAATAATGCAGCCGCTGTTTAATTGGTACGGAGTGGCATGGCAGCCGCAAATGGTGTATATCGTCGCAGCCTCTATTCATGGAAACTCAGCATGACATCTGCGGACACAACAGAATCAGCGCAGCTGAGAATTAAGCGGTAGTTGATGCTTGGTAATTGTGCTGAGGCTTCTTCGTTTTGGCCACCATGGTTGTTTTTGGCCACAATGGTTGTTTGGCAACTTTTTACTCATTCACTCTTCATTTTGCGTACACTTGTAATTTATTTCAATGTGGAACTCAATGCCGCTGCATGAAAGCGACCTGGCGGTGTTACATTTGTCAAAACAAGTTCTGCAGCACACTCTTATGCCATCCTACTCACTCGCGGTCATCCTTCGGAAAGCCATATTGGTTTACTTTGCGCGCCGCCCATGCGTCGCGGACAGTGCAAATACATGCATGCGACAGTGAGTCACCCCACCATCCCACGAACACTCAGTCGGCCCAGGTAGAAAGCTACTTCCTTGCCTTTACGTCATTCTCATAGGGCACTGTGATGCAGGGTTCTTGTTGCTGATTTGTTTTTCTCCCGGGCCGAGCCTCAGAGAGTTTTGTTAATAAGGACAAAGCCGTTCGGTTTCCAAGAAACACACAAAAAGTTTAATTGAAAAGTAAAAAGGCAAAGATTCCTCACAAAACAAAACACTTAATAAACAGTTGACTGGACATGACGGAACACATCTGTAAACACCCAACAAGAACGTTCAAAGTCAGTAACTAAACCTAACGTTCGAAAGGGGCTGAGTGATGGGAGTAGCGCAAGAGTATCGGTGCAGTCTCACCCACAAGTTGGTTTCGGCGGTGATGAGAAACCGGAACGCCGTGACTCCTGCGTCAATGCGTGGGCTGGACGAGGACGAGGGAACGCTGGCTGCTGGCGACACGTCGAAAAGCCCTACCAAATCGTGATGGTTTCGGCTTGAGGAGCGTGGACACGTCGGAGACGGGAGAACGCAGGCTGGTGGCGACGCGTCCGGGAACTAGGGTCGACCTAGTCAAGCAGCTGGGCGCTCAGCTCGGGCCCGGAGCCCGACGGCTGTAGCTCGCCTGCCGGAACCGAAGTCCGCAGGCTCTGGAAAGGAGTTCAGGACCGGATGGCCACGGTCCTTTGGAGCGGGAACCCGACAGCAGGAGGCCCCGGCCGGTGGAAGTCCTGTAGGCTCGGGTCCGGAACCCAACGGCCCATCTTCAGCGCCCGGTCCGGTGACGACCTTCCGCTTGCACTGCCTGCCTCGAATTCCCCTTGCTCTGGTCTCCCCAGGCTCCTGCTTCAGCTCTGGCCCACTTGTCTCGTTCTCATTGGAGATACTACTGTTTCGTGGTGTCAAGCCATTGGGCCTTGAAATCTCCGTGTTCGCTGCCCATTGGATGTTTTACCTTTTGTTTACTTCACGTCCTGCCACGCATCCTCGTGCTTGACGCTCTTTAACGTCGTCATTCTTGTTTAAGCATCACCGCACGTGCACTCTGGTATTTCTCCTTTTGTTTTTTTTTTTTTTCCCGTGACGCGCACTTTTCGAAGGCGCGCACTTTGAACGCGCACCACACATCACATACGCCCCCCTTTTATTCAAGTTTTTTTTTTTAAAAAAAAAAAACTGCCGATGAGTGCGCGTTCTGCACTACGTCACAATTAAACCACATATTTGCACCACGCAGTTCAACACATCACCGGGCTACAGTTCGCTACATCGTCCAAATGTCCACACTTAAACTTTAGATTCACCCAATTGCATTTAAAAGTTCTGAAACCCGGAATAAACCTTTTTACTACAAAATCGACTATGGACAAAGCTACTTGTGTCCGCATCTAAAAGTCGAAGTCCAGAAAGAGCTACCGGTTTTCTAACCCTACACTCAGGTTATCGCGTCCCAAACCAGACGCACTGCCCTTCTCGCACGTTTCGAAAGTAACTGTGGCAAACATGCTTTTATGCACTTTCGCTGAAACGCGTGTCTGCGCCCCCGCCGGCCACATGAACGCTTACCGGTCACAGAGGAACAGGGCGCGGTCTCGAGCCGTCGGCGTCGACACGAAACGCACTGAGACACGAATGTCCAAATGCCACAATCTCTCACACAAATGCTTTCTTTTAGTTCACCATCTAATGAACACAAGCTCGGGGTGCC